ATGAAGTTAGATTTGGTAACAAATTGTTATCAGTATATTTATATATATTTAATATGGGAGTTTTTTAAGAACTTCTTTCCTAAATAACGGCGAAAAGTACAGGAATTAGCTAAATAATTTTTGTTTCATGCAAATGTCGGAACATTATATATTTGAATGAATGTTTATTTCAATCAAAACTGTATACCTACCCAGAAGGAAGTTATTGATGTGGAAACAAATTTCCACTTTTTTAATGTAAACCTCACCTTAAAGAAAAAATTGCATCAGCTTATTTAACCCAAGCAAATTTGCAAAAATGCGCTAAAAAATATATACATTGTATTGTAAACTATATTGTATAGTAGGAACTGGCGGTTGCGTCATATGTCATATGTATCTCTCTTTAATACCCGCAAGAAGGAAGTGACAGCATACTCACAGTTAGCGAATTAGTAAACAGTATATTATTTTTTTCTACAAAATCTTTATTTTTATATTATATTACGCTTGGTTATCTGTTTTCCCGAGTGTTTTTCATTTAAATAATACTGACGTTTTCTTATAGGAAGTTGTTTGTTTTGTTTATACTGGGTGTCGAGTAATGGATTTCCCCTCGTATTTCCCCTTCTAAAGTCTAATACATTTTTTTACTCGAAATTTGAAATTTTATTTATTGAACCAAAGTTTATGTTTGAAAATTTATATTGTCTAAGTGCCTTCCATTATGTCTACAACACTACTGCAATTCTGTCTTTATAGGGTTAAATCTGGGGTTAAATACTGCTAAACACATCTATGAATGCAATAATTTCTTCCCGTTTTTGTTTTACTTTTTGCGAATTCTATTAACATACACTTTACTTTTGAGGAATCCAAAAAAATTCGAGCCCGTTTAGGTCTCCAAAGCAAGATGGAGTAATTCTCGAACGAATTCCATAGATGCTCGCGCTGTATGTGCGGTGGCTCCATCTTGGTGTAATCATCTATCCTGATTCAAAGTCATCAAATCCTTGCAGCCGAGGTACGAAAAACTTGCGAAGTACATAAATAACGATCACTATTTAATTACGAAAATTCCTGAAGCCGATATCGCACATTATACAGTTACTTTTCGGCTATGTAGCGGCTTATCGTAATTGGATTGTTTCTTCGCCCAATAGCGAGAATTTTGAAAGCTAAAAGTGTGTCTCGTCACTGAACAAAACATTGTTAATTCGGTCTATCATTGTTTCGACGAAACAACGACGGTTTCTAACTCAGTTTAATTCTTGCACTATTTGGATCTTGTAGAGATGACACCTTAACATTTTTTTGGAAAAATGACCACTTGTGATTACGCACAGATCACTTGGATTTTGAATGATTGCGGGCCTTATAGCTTCAACATTCGCAGGAGCAGTTACAGTCTTTGAACGAGCAGTTAAAGCTGACGTTATTTCTCTAAACTTCTTTACCCACAATTTTACAAAATAATTACCGTGACCCCCACAGCCCACACATCTAATATTGAAGTGATCAGAAAACCTTCGCCTTGTAATATGGTGTTTTTGAAGGGTGGGTATGTGTAGATTAAATATTAATCGCCACACAAACAAAAGTCTAAATTATACATATCTGTCACTACGCATAACTATGAAAAACGCGAGGAAAAACGAGTAAGAATCAAAATTATCTTCAAATAAATGAAGCCTATATGTATACATTTAATTGGCGTTATTTAAGGGTCGATATGTTTACATTCAATGGCGTTTGCCAATTGCGCGATTTAATATAGGTAATTATTAATTTCCAAACTTCCTTGAGTTAAGATTTTTGCATATTTAATGCTGGATCGTTTACATGAAATACGCAAAATTTATTCTCTGCTACTTGTTGCTAACTTCACACTACCACATCAATTAGTACATTATTAACGATCTCCTAACGAGTTTATAATTTTCCGTCCGTTATCTGTCTGTTAGCACGATATCTTGAAAACGAATGGACCGATTACGATGAAATTTTGCAGGTAGATTCTTTATCACATTTGTAGATTGGAGTTCGCGAATTGGCAATGTAGGCCAAAAAATAAAGAGGCCCTTTTGACATCTGCTTTGTCTATGAACCGAATTGCATGAAATTCAAAACGAGCATAGCTTTAGCCATACAATGCTACGCTAATGCCATACCCAAGGAGCTGCTTTGCTATATTTGTTTACACATTTACCTATTCGTTAGTTTAGTTGACAAAGGTCCTTTCGATCAAATCATAACCAACTGTGGTTTCTCAGTTTTGCTATACATATACCTACCATATACCTGAACGGGTTAAAAATAATACATGTGTTATGTACAAGTACAGATATACAAGTGGTGCTATCGTTAGAACTTTTGAAAAATATTCTTTTAATAAAATTATTCTCCGCTGTGGGTTCAATAACACAAGTTTCGTATAAGCGTCGCAAGCAATAATTAATACATTTTTTTCCCGAGATATCTTGTTGTGAATTGCACTGGAGGTAGCTAGTAAAACGATTGTTACCGCTAGTTTCCTTGTTCCCCACGTTTAAAATCGAATAAAACTAATGCGGAAGAGCTAGAATTAGATGTAGAAAAATGATAAATACGCTTAGAATGAAGAACTAAACGAAACATTTAAATAGAATAATTATAATTTAAATAATTTACTGATTCAAAACGACTTATTTACTTGATCACAGACCATTCACCTCGCCATTCGCCCTTCAGACATTTCAAGCTTCGCACTTTAAATACCCCTAAAGATTATTAAAAGCTCTTATTGATCTGCTAGCTCTAAAGGCATCTAGGAGGCCGTAGAGACCATTGATACTGTTGGAGAAAAAAGATGTGAAGGTCTCTTGGGAAAATTGCCACCATATGCATGTATAAGTGAAGTAACGCCTCAAACAATTACAAAAGCTCTTAAAGTCTTTACCCCTAAATAGAGAAAAATGAATCTTAAGAATCCGAAAAGCTCTGGAAGGCATCCTGAGGTTTTTGGAGATTAGTTGCGATTCTTAACATTTAACAATTTTTGAAAGGCCCACATTTTTAATATATACAGCGTGCTCAGGAATTAATGTCAAATTTGGCGAGTTTGGAATTATCTGAAAAATTCAAACGATCTGGGATAGCATAAAATATGTCTACCAATCTATCACATAAAGCGGTACAGGCGAGGGTACAGGTGAAGATTCACATACTATAAAACGAATAAATTCAAAAATAAGAGTCCAGAATTTGAATGATAGGTACATGATAGTACAAAAAGGAATTTACAACATCTCAATTGAAGATGATCCGGCCAAAATCGACATTTTTCTTCCACTCGAGAGCATAATTAATTCGAGTTGCAGAATGACGACCGTGGTAAATCTCTGCGGACGTCAAAACCTTAGGAAGTAGAACTCGCAATTACGGCGTTAAAAGCGTGACTAAAGAATAAACACCTATACCTACCACAAATACGACATCAGCGAATGGCGACATTTACTCCTTCACGCAGAGGCATTTCAGGCAATCAAATTAATTCAAACAAAATAAGCGTAATTGAACCAAAAGAGGCATCGACGGTAACTAATTGAATTAAATTTCAAATTGCTCTTTTAACAATGTACCTTTTCGTTGGATAAATAATGATATATTTATATGTATTATTATTATAACGTGAGAGCTTTTCGAGTGGAAGAGGAAATAATTAAACACTGCTACTGCAAATAAACGACCGCTAATGGTGGAAGTAACCTGTATACTCATTTAGAGATTTTGCATTTGATAGTAACGTCCACATGTCAAGTTTTTTGATATATAAATTTTGATTAATTCGAGATTAATATTCCGCTACTGCCAGTAAGCCCACCCGTACTAATTTATTAACGTTTTTTTGGGATTTCTGTCAGCAATTTTACAGGGGCCATTTCTGGTTAGATGGCGCACTATAGGTTGATTTGGGTGGCATAATCGAATACATTTAGAAGTGCTCCCGATGTCACGTGGACACAATTTTAATAAAACAGGGAGTCACGCACGTGCGCTATTTCAATTTTTTGAGTTATCTATTACGGGTGCCTTATAAAAAGCGATAAAATTTTATTTTAAGATTCTAAAGATAGAAAGAGAGAACGCTCACAATTGATCGATCAAGAACTCATTACGTGCTCGTTTCACGTGTTTTATACCTGTGCCAAGATCGGCTTTGTCTTTATCAATTTTTTGCGAATGTGCGTAAAGTTGCATAATGTCAAGGATGAAACGGTGCATTTTATGCAAATTGCTAGGGGGTTTGCGCGAGGAATTATGAATGAAAATGTTTGAGCTGTGTAAGCTTTGCTTTGAGGGTACGAGAATTATTTTTATACCCCGCATTTCGATGCACAGGTACGGTAAGCGCGGAATATTTATAAAATCACTCGTCGCCGGAGACGACAATTGAAAGAAATGATATCATTCAAAATTGTTATAAGGAATTCGAGTGTAATATATAAAAATAGAAAGCGTACTCATTCATTGCTTACTTTTTATTACCTATTGCCATCAATTACAACGCCTACATCGAATAATTTACACAAATTAAGTGGAGAATGCTGATGAACGATTTCCTGCGTCTTGGAAGATTTTAAAAAATTGGCAAGTTCGGTGGGCGCTTCTTCTTCAACCGGAAGCGCCCATTGAACGTTCTGCATTCGTAAGTGCAAGTAACTACATTCGTGGAATGAAATAAAATCAATAATCCGCTAAAAAATTGGAGGTAACTGGACAATGGCGCAATGGCAAAAATTGGGGATATGCGCAAAAATAGAAAAACCACGTTAAAAACTACCAGAGACGTGCGCAACTTTACAAGAACAAGAAAAAAGTCTATTTCTGATTGGTTCTCAATAATTGCAAAATCAATACGCAGTTTAATACAATTTAATTGATCAAACAGTACGGATTTATATAATTATATTTAGGAGATCCCGGTGCTAAATAAAATCGCCGAGGCGACCCTAACCACGCTGAAGAAAAATCGCACTTACTCTTATTAAGCCCTTAGGAAAGCCCTTCGCTAATTAGACACTGTTTTGCTTCACAACACCAAATTTCTCAACAAGGCGCGAGAGTTCATATTATTTAATTACGAGAGCGCGTCGCGAAAAAATAAATTGGGGGTAATCACAATTAATAATCGGTGCGGTTTAAATTAAAGCACTGAATTTCCTTAATTTTATTTAAATGCACTTGCATTAGTTGCACTTCGCAATTATTGTACGTAGATGAGAGCGTCGAGTTTTAATTTATGTGGGCCACTTCTTTGCTGATAACAAAAAAAATAAACAAAACACTGCACATTTCAACAATAGCATCAACAATCAACAACCGTGGCATCCGCCGAATGCAGCCAAGGCGGTTGCAATTGTTGAAACAATCGCTGCGAACCGCGATTGCTCTTACTTGCTGCGTGCAGAACACTTGCGCGTCGACCTGCCGCGTTTACCGCCTACTACCATTTGAGCACTGAGCAGTACTTGCTCTCGGTGCCACTTAGTTTGCCATCATGGCTGCTCCTGCTTTTCTCAGATCAGAAAAAAACCGGTCATGTCCGTACGTACCTCCGCCCGATTTACACTGCAACATGCATCGGCTATTATTTGCATTAACTCCCGTCAAATAAACATATTGCGAGCCGCCGTTGCGCTATTAATCGCGACTCCTAAAATTAGTAATTACATGAAAACCTAATTCGATGAAGCACACGGAAATTAAAAATTGCGGATTTCTCGATTTCCTCCCGCTTAACTTAAGCCCCACAAAAAGGCCAACGTTAACAAATTTAATTAATTTTAAATTCGTATTTCAGATTTCTCTGTTCTTCGATATTGCTGAAAATCAACGCACTTTCGCAGATTTTTCAAATTTGGGTCAAATGTAAACATGGGGGCGCACGTGTAAAAAAGACAAAGTAATAAAATTAATCCGAAGACGTAAATATTTCCATAAAGGGAAGCCACTTCCGCTACGTGAAAATGTGCGAATGTCCCTCGCACATTTCCGTGTGCATCGTAGGGTCCCAACAACCCCTAACCCCCGCCAAAGGAAGCAATATGCAAATATTTCCCGGAATTTACAAAGTGCGGTCGCGAAAACGTAATAATTAGTTTAATATTTAGGTTCGCGCGCCGCAAAAGGAGCTCGTAGACAGACGGTTTTTTGTCATTCAACATTAATTTTACGAATATGTTTTTGTTTATGTAGGTTAAAGCGACACCATCTCATTCACAATTTTACGTACGTCCAAATCTTTAAAATCCATGTGCGAGCGCTTCCTCCACCGAGAAATTTAAATGATTTCCTTACATGCTTGTCGAACATTAAAATACACCAAACCAACTTTTAATTATTATACTAACCGCAAGTGGGCAAAGACAGCGAGTAATACAAAATAAATTAATTTATAATTGCATATTTACCGGATTTTACATTACACAAGTCATACTCACGAGTGAAACGTTGGAAAACACAATTTTAAAATCACATTTCGTCAATGTGTTTGCGATTACGACCCGAACCGGTATTGACTAAACACTACAATGTTCATGTGTAAAATGTTTTTTGTGTGCTTAAAATCGTAACATGGCGTACCATACGCATTCACCCCTCACCCCGACAGTGCGCGTATTTCTCTTCCGCCCTTACTTATCTCCCCTTGCCTCCGCGCAAAACAAACCATATCGATTTTGGGAGCACCGTACCTAATATATACGCTGCTTGCAGTAGTTGCTAGGGTATATGCGTTATCCTGCCCTTATCCAACGCGTACGCTCTACCGGCCCTCAGTGCGAGCGAGGGTTGCCACCCAGAACTGACGGTCGTAACTTAAAGGGTCGAATATACTTGATGTATGTTCCTATATATTGCTGACTGCAGCCAAAGGTACAGAACTAAGAAAATGCGTAATAAAAGTAAGATCGGCGCCATTTTGAAAAGACTTTTTATTGCCCTATAAAACATAAAACTCTCATTTGGGGCTAATCAATGTTAGGGTACTTTTTATTGTTATGTTAAGTTAAAAGTATACGATATTTAGCGCCATAAACAGCTGCCAGTCGAAATTTTGACTTTTCCTTATCATCGTTTAGCGATGAACGAAAATCGCCTTGTGCAGTAAATGGTCCTGCCAGGTGGCTGATGCATTTACGAAATCAATTTATATCACTTTCTCCAAGGGTACAAAACCGAGAACGCTCACTCGCTGCAAATATTTTCTGTTTTGTTGTTGTCATATTCCCTCCCTTCGAAGATGCGCAGTCTACAATTCCATTAGCTTCGGAACGATGCCCTAATTACAGCTAAAGTTCATTACCGTCAGTAACATATCTCTCCTAATACGTTTGAAAGGGGTGTTAACGCATACATATTTTAAGAAATGTGGTGGATCTCGAGATCAAAGTGACTCCAAATCGCGATACCTAAGGGAGCGATTGATTACGAATTTAGTAAATTTCAATTCAATTTGCTAATTCATTTAGGCACTTACTCGGCGTTGGTTGCAAATTATGGAAAGCACAATAATTTGAAAAACCACGCGCTTTTTCGATGAGCTTTTTCTTATCAAGATGACGCGCCTTAATCCAAGCTCATCATTATAATGACCGCCATCCCATTCCCTAATTCGTCAATAATCCGTAAGTAACATCATATAAAATGCAAAGTATAATTGTCCTAAATTGGTGACGCGCAATCACGTTCATGAAATAAAAATTAAACCCCTTTCATAGATTTTGGCAAAATCAAACAACTTCTTATCCAAACACGCCACTGTAATGCGGTAATGTCGCCAATGTGGGTGTAATGTAATGCGGTTAATGGCTCATATGTAGCATAACGCGGTAAACAATTGCTTTAGTGGGTAATCTTCATAAGCTTATTTAACGCTTTATTCCACTTTTTTCGGATCATTCAGTTTTTTTCCGATTTTTTGAACTCTAGGTACATTTTTCATTTTTTTTGAACTGCTTAATATTTGTCAGAGTTTATACGCGGATCTTTAAAACTGTTGACTTCTTCGGATTGTTATCCCTTACTCTTCTTAATACTCGAATTTCCTCGGACGGAAAATATATTTAATTGCGTTTATATTCTGGGGAAACTTTCGACGAGTGTCAAAAACTCTAATTCTAGGTACCTTAGGAATGACACATCGGAAAGAAACCCTTATGCGCCAATGCTCAGGTTTCAACATTCATGTTTACAGATTCTCACTTCAAGGTTGAACTATTGAGCTTCCGAATACATGCTTGAGGATTCAAGATGCGACCCCTAAGATATCATCAAGATGTTATACTGTTATGTGCCCCACGTTGGGCGCCAAATAAAAATGCTGTGGGCCCCATGTTGAGCGCCTAATAAAAAAACTATGTGTAAAACCACCCAGATGCACCTATCCAGATAGCTCAATTAAACTCAAATACTGATAAAACCACAAAATATTCTGATTATAAAATTTCCTAAAGAACATCCGGCAGCTGACCCCACGAAACATTTTATTAAATAGAGAAATTCGGCAGCCTTAACCGCTTCAACAACTCCAATGAATTAAATTAACAATTTAACTTGACTGGCACTCAGGGTCAGATAACATACACCACGCAACAAGCGATCGATTAAGCAAATTAAATTTAAATAAAGTTTTAATTACCTTATCATTCGGTTAAAATTGTGCTTCACTTAAAACTACACTGACTTCGTTGTAATGACAGCTATTGTAGAGGTCCTTTGATAGTAGAAATACTCTCTTTAATCGATCACTTGAAAACCTGAAAGAAAGGCTTTTCTTAAGCGACAAACGCTGGATAACCACAGCACTCCGACTAAACGTTTTCATAAACAGGAAAACACGTTTCCTCTTAACTCGGCTTAACGTTCACATTAACGCCACGACGTAAGGAAACATCTTTAAACACTCTCTAGCTTTCTTCTACGCAACTTTACAATTAAACAAGACAGTCGCTCAAATACGGTTAGTACACAAACACCAAAACAAACGGCTACGTTTCAACGTCTACCACCAAAAAAGCATGACCGAAAGGCTTCGATTAACGTCTTTCCCTTCTATTGAAAACAATTTCCCTTTCTCACTTCCGTGTCCCCTTCTTTAACAATATAGTGCGTCTTCGAAGGAATTAACATATGTTTACTTCGGCGATGGTACGAGCTTATCTTGAAACTAATTACTTTTCGCAGCGATGAGGACTTTTACCGGAGACAAACATGGGATAAACTTTTACAAATACTACCCAAGTAATTCCTAACTTAATAAATATAGTCTTTTGACATGTAATTTAAGCTAGCAATTAGCAAAATAATTACTTAAACAAAATCAAATATCAAATAATTAAATAATTCTGATACAACTTCAATATTATCCGACTATGTAGCTCAGTGGTAGAGCGTTGGGCTACATAACCAGAGGTCGGGTGTTCGAACCTGGGCTGAGGTACACTTGTGAAAATCCTCCGAATTAGGTTTTTCTGGAGTTTTCCTAATTTGTAAGGTAAATATCGGTAGAGTATTGAACAACTTAAGACCTTCTGCAGGGGCACTCCTAAAAATCATTACGCGGGTCACTCAGTAATTGGGTGCAAGAGAGGGATAATAAATAAATAAATTGTCCTCGAATTCAACTAATATAATCGAGATTGTGCTTAATCCCAAATTCCAAGCAAATTTTACGTAAACAATAAATGAAATTCACATACAGGATGACACGATATGCTTAAAGTAGCAAGATTCAAAGTGCAAACTTCAAGGTTGGAGTTGCCGGGTTCAAGATTTATGCTTCAAGATTCTTGATTTGATTCAAGTGTTAAAGATATAAGCTTCAAAACGCAGGCTTGAACCTAAAGAGACCTAAAAAACAACCTTTAAGGTCCACGCTTGAATATTTCAAGTGTCCATCTCAAAGCTTCAGTATTGTAATTTCAAGTTTCAATCTTTACACTTCAATATTGTAAGCAGTGTTACAACTGGAAATTGCAGCCATATTCAAGGGGAGGATATTTTCAAGACGAAGCTTGAAAACTTGTGCTGAAGTCCAGAATTGAAGATCCAAAATTTTAGTGTACAGATTTAAGATTCTTAATTTTGGCTTTTTAATAAAGTTTAAAATTTCAAGAAGCATCTTCCTTTAATATTTCAGAAAAATCTCTCCATAAGTAAGATAATTGAATCTGCGCATGCGCAATCCATTTTTTGACCCGACCTTTAAGTTTCCAAAAAGTTGTCCATAAATAAGAAGTTTTAACTGTTTCATCAATGAGATTAGGGTTCTGATCCAGATTTGGAGTTTCTCTGATCCAGAATGATCGCTAAAACTGAGCAAATTTCAAGTTTGTGAATTGTGAGGAGTGAAAAAATTAGTTTTGTTCTGTTTTTTTATAAATAGCGTAAATGGTTCCCTTGGTGCAAGCCTCGGCACCATGACAAACCGAATGAAAAAAAATAGGGTTTTTAAGATGAAGAGCTGATAGTGACACAGTCGTAGGGACGGACGGATGGACAGACGGGTAAGCAGACGGATGGACAAGGTGTCCACAATAGCACATTTTTTTCATTTTTGTAGCAATGCGCTAAAAATGTGAAGGATTTGAGGGAGAAACGGAATAATCCGAGAAATGTTAAAAACGTGAAAGATTTGATGTATCATCGAACCCAAAGAAACCAAAGAATTTGAAGAAAATAAAAAAAATAGAAGAGCACAAAATGAGAAGGATTCGATAAAATAAAATAATAAAAGATTTTGAATAATCCGAAGAAACTTAGAAGAACAGAAATGTGGAAATTCTGAAGAAACGAAAGAGTGAGGAATACTTGAAAACAATATAGGATCATAAAAATTTAAATGGTGCCCTAAATAATCCGACGCAATAGAAGGACGCAAAGAATCTAAAGATACTGAAGAAGCTGGAGAATGTCAAGATTCGGAAGGATTTGAATAATCGGAGGAATTCGAAAAACGAAAAAATCCAAAGAATCGTAAAAAGTTTAAATTGAAAAAGGAGTATAGTTAACGATTCCTAAGAAAAGAATTGAATGATTCGAAGGAAATGCATTTGAAGAAACAGGAAGATGGCAAGAATTTAAAGAAGTAGAAAAATGCTCGGAAGATAACAAAAATCTAAAAAATTAGAAAGATTGAAAGAAACTTAAAAATCCGAGAAATGTTAACAAGCTAAAGAACCTTAAGGAACTAAAATTAATTGGAAGAAATCCGGAGTAATTTGAAGTATTGTCCTTGAGGAAGAAGGCTTTAAAAATTGACTCCTTCCCCTCTAGGTCGTACCGAAACCGGTGGCGCAGTAGTTGCGTTGATCCACTGCTATTCGGGAGGGTTGTGGGTTTGAATCCCGCTGCCGACTGTTCTGTCTGGGGTTTTGTCAGGTGGTTTTCTTCAGATGTACGTAGCTTCGCATAATGCTACCATTACGTTGAAATATACGAGGCGGATGCTAGAGCAATACTCTTCCTTCTCAGCATCCTAACTTCATTCCAATCCCTAACCCACCCTTACAGAAGAGAAGTCAAGAAGGAAGGAGTAGCCCGCCTCCGGTATTCCTTAGGGAGGAATGGAGCACGTTGACCTCTATGCCCTTTGAAGATAGTTCGTAGCGTAATGCAAAGTTTCCTAACCTAAGGTTAAGTCAACTACTACCGTTCTGTAATGAGTAATGACGATAGCGTTTCATGACGTATTGTAGTTTATGCGTAATGTAGCATAACGTTGTTCATGGATCGCATGGTATATTGTAATGCAATAGCAATTTCAAAATAGTCCATCCTTTATCTATACAATTTATTAATTTTTTTGTTGAGAAACATTGTTATTGATGAAAAATACCTCGACACTCTCGCTTTCTAAAAAAAAAGGTTAAAACCTCATATAAATTTCATGTGGTTGGTACGATGCAAAAACCTCCCATCAAATTTAGATGCGTAGTAGATGTAAACCCGGTATCTAAACGTTCTCAATGCAAGTGGTGATAAAATATGTAAGTTCATCAAAATTTTAGATGGCCATGTTCTGACTTTGATACGCAATTCCATAATTGAAGATAAGATATGAAACGAATATGATATGGAAGAATGTTCATAAGTTACCTACTGCCAAAGGAACGATCGCAAAGGTAAAAATCAGCAATATCGTAAATTTTCAATAATCCCCACTATCCTCTCTATACGGCTCTTGTTTTTATAGGGTTTCACGACGAAGGGATAATAGATTTAATTTATATGAACGTTGCCCTCGCGTAATAGGCTAAAGGATTAGTTTCGTTCATTTATCTGCTAATAGCATGTTTAGATCTAGAAAATTAATTAATTACAACTATTTGGGTTTCCTCCTGAAACCGCAATCTATACAAAGAGTTTTTGGCAAGGAATTTTATTATTTGCGGCCCCTTTACTTTTATGACAATTTTTTCTCAGATAAATCTCATAAATTTCTATAAAGTATTATGTAGCATTTTCCTTTAACATTCACATAAATAAAAAAGTTTAAGTTTTTTGGAGACGATTACCAATTCAAATAAAGCATCTAGGATATAACTCAAAATGGTTTGTTCAAAATTCAAAGGGAGGCAAGCTTGACATACTTTATTACACCAATCAGTATCGCTTAACGATTTTGAAATTGTTTTGATTTATTGCCCTAATTTTTAAGGAAATTGGATGGGTGACAAATGGCGCAGATGAAAATGTGCGATCCGATCGATTTTCGCGAAGGAAATTCTTAATTTATCGCATTTAACCTCGAAAAAACAATTGCGAAACTCTCCAAGTGAAAGGAATCTCCTCAAAAATGTTTAAATTCAATTCTACATCGCAATGACTAAATTTAATCGGAATGACTTTATAAACATTCTTCGCGTACATCCTTTCAGTTCCCGTGGCGCCTGAATGCGTTATATCTCATTCGTCACAAAAATAAACTGACTGATCTTATAGATATAGGAGGAAAAACATCCCTTAAACAAGGTCAACATTTTACATCCTTATCTTTATAACGCAATCGCGATATTTTCATTTCCTTCTCACTAGTTCCCAAATCCGTTTTCCCTGGAAGAATCCAGGAAATCGATAAACAGACGCCGCTTACGTAAGCGTCGTTCTTTCGACGCGGCGTCGAGCGGAAGTAAACGAAGCCATCCGAATTTGCAGGTGGTGGTCTGATTGACACTTCTTCATGCGGGTGCTTGTGATAACTGATATGTGAATATTTACAAATATCCGACACTTTGTGCGCGATTTCGGGCGACAGCTTAAGACTAAATTGGGTTGCAAGATGAGCTAACGGGGCGCGTGAGGTTTGCTCGTAACGGCGGCCGGTCGTTACAATTATGTTATTCCACGGTACTAATTGATGTGATAAGGTGTTGCTATTTGTGTACACATAACCTATAAACATTCGCCTATCTCACCAAATTGGTGGAATTGGATATTGTTTCACGCCTTATCTGCAATATGGCAGCTCCACTTCGTTGACATCTCAATGACCAAATCTAGGTCATTTTCTTTCGGGGACCCTACAATTATTATAAGTAGTTGGTGTGCATTCGGCTTGAACCTACGCCTGCAGGGGTGAGTAAACGTTAGTGGCCGAGACAGTGGACATTTTCGGTATAACCTACAAACAGTGATTGCAATTGTAAGGAACTTTATTAGAAATGGTGTGAGGGCGGTGTTGGACGTTTTTACCATCATGGTGTAGAGAGGCCATGACATCTCGCCAGCCCTCTGCAATCACCGATAGTCAGGGGGCCCAATCCCCACATCTTGGTGCACAGGTAAACTGTTGTATATTATTGACATGCTCACAAGGGCATACGTTGTTAGTGGGGTTGGTCATTAAAGGAAATGTCTTGCGGTTACGAGGTGTGATTCATAAAATTTTCGACTTCTCTCCTTGAGCCGTTTCCATTATTTTTTTGACAATAAATAACTAATATGAAACGTCTACTCCTTGTGTCTATTCTCCTATGTGTGAAATATATGGGTATACCTACAGTGATTTTGTATTAAAATTGTTAATAACCACATCTCCTAGAGAAGTCAATACTCCACAGGCAAGCGTTTCACGTCCCATTATACCTACTTAATAACTTCGCAAGGGTGAAACGAGAAAAGAAAATAATGGGACAATATATGAGATGAGATTGCCGTGTTTAGGGCGACATACACGCTTCCCAGTTTATAAAATATTTATCATGATTCATGTGCTCGGTGATGGACCGGTTGTTATTAAATTCCGTAAAAAATTAAATTCTTGTCATGGAAATCTGGACAAAGCAAACAAAGTCGTTTAATCACATCTGAGGTTGATCAAATTTGAACGAAACATGGACACTTGCGTCTGTGACAGTTGTTCCTTCAAAATGTTTTCATAATGGTAACGTCATTATTGTTAATGAATGTGGGAGAATTGCGCCCCACTGTAAAAGTGGCTTTGATGGCTTATCCAAATTTGAAACCGATAGGAACACTTTTCTAAATTTACCTCATTATTAAAGATTTTAAACAAAATATCGAAGTGTTCCTATCGGCTTCACGGTCTAAGAAATAAAAACGTAAAAAAAAAATCAAAGTAGGCCTAGGACTTTAAAATTTTGCACGTTTGCTTAGCAACTTTTCTTAACAAAAATTCCTCTTTACTGGTAATGCATTTAAAAAATTTTAAAGGCATATCCTTGATTTTTCGAAATTAAAATTATGTCAAAATTTTTTTTCAACCAAGTAGGGCAGATCCCCAGAAGCCCTGCCAGAAGCTTAAAATTCAATTCGAAAATTTTTACAGGAGACGACCAAAAAATCAGGGTATACACTGTATAGTCAATCGCAGCATACAGGGTGTTCCTAATTATGATGTAAATACAGAAGATCTTTGGCTTATTTACAGGGTATTAAAATTACAAGATTTTTTTGAGTTTTTTTCTTTATATCTCCTGCACTTTTTGAGATATTTCCCTCAAATTTGAATACGCTAAAGGTCATGTCAATTATCGTGAAAATCTACAGGGTGTTGCTTTTTCAGGAGTCATGTTCCATTTTCTACCCTTCAACTTTCTTGTAATTCTTTCGTATCTGCGACCGTTATCCAGCAAAAAAGTAAAAATCAATTTTCAGTAGCTAGCTAAATGACAGTATAATTTTGGACATGATCCCGTATACCCTGGCTTTGTTTGGATAATATCTTGTTTTTATTAATTTGGACAGCTCACATTTGAAAATGTTTCTTGTGTTTGCAAATGTTTATAAATTAACCCTCGCGCGACCAAAACATGAAATTTGCCGCGGGTGCTCAAGCTATGGTTTTATCATTTTATGACCCGAACATTGTTGTGAATAGTATTGTTTATAAAATAAAAGGACATGTAGTATTACATAGTTGACTTTGCCAGCAAAAGTAGCGTTGATAAATTAATAAGTACCTATGCATTGTGCGTGGGGATAAACCCACATAGCTTAGTAAATAATTGGGTTATAACGTAGTAGCATCGTATATTTATCCCTTTGTAGGTACCTTCCCCCGACACGCCATTTTTTAGATATTAACACTTAAGTTCTCACATCGCCAGTAGATATGTAGTAGTTACAACCGCCCTTTAAGAGTGTTTTCCTCTGACACACCGTTTTTGAGATACCCGCGCTTAAAGTTTTCCCATCACCAATAGATATATTTCTTCCTGACGTCCCTATCGCCCTTTGTGAGGATCCTCCTCCGATACTCCGCTCATAGGACATGAGGAATTATCTCGGGAATTATATCCGATCACGACAAAGAGTTGACTGTGCTTGGTAGAAATTAAGTCCTTTTGTTGAGACCTTTCATTAGAGTACCATGAAGAATGAAATTAATTTTTTGTTTTTGTTTCTGTTTCTGTTACTGTTACTGTTACGGTTACTGTTATTATTACTGTTACTGCTACTGTTACTGTCTCTGTCTCAGTTTCATCCAGTATTAGAAATGTTGTACCATCGTTGAAGGTGACTAGTTATCCAGCAATTGAAATTTCTTTTGATGTCGAAGGATCACGTATTTATGCATAGGCAGTAGGTACTTCTAATTCCGTGGAGTGTCCTTTTCATCATATACTAAATGAAGTGGTATGTATGTCTGTGATGAATGCGTAACCACGATCAAATAAATTCGACATGTCCTGTAAAAATTTTGATGTAGGAAAATCTCCGTCATCTCGGCCCCCTGTACGTTTCTTCGTTTTCGAGATGCGTTCTTTTTTTTTCACGTTCCACTCTAGAGTTTTTAAAAGCGTTACAAGGCGATATTTTGAAAACAAATTTTGGTGACTTAATAAAGTGTGGGTGGACAAATTTGAAATTTTTATCTCAATTTTTTGAGTGGGGGGGGGGGGATTCCTTGCACTTCCAAACGGATTTATATTGCGTTTTGATGGAAATTCCCATACTAAGTAGTGCAGCTTCTCTGTAAATGTTTCTGCCCCCCCCCTCCCCCCAAATTAACATGTCTGAAGTTTTATTTCAGGCTTTAGGTAATAAACATAAATTATTAATAAAACGTCACAATATTGAACATATTCTTAACCATAACAGCCGTTGAAAAATGTGTAGTTTTTTTTATTGTAATGTCCAAAATAACCATAGCTTCGTAACGATGAAAACAATCAAACAAAGAAATATTACCTGATACGTAGTTTTTATATATTGCTGTGGCATTGGTAGACGGTCAACTACACCACCCACAAAACACCTGGCCAGCTAGCTCAAACAAAACGAAATTTTTATGATCTCTCCTCGTACACTTCCGTCATCTGCCATAAAGTCGATTTCTGAAATTCCAAAAAATTAACTACACCAAATGTTCATTAACACCTGCCACAAATCTTAGACACGAGTAGAAATATCTGACATGTGAACTGCATCCGGGGCGCACAATGAGTTCGAATAAACCCACAATTAAGATATTGACAATGACAACATTTTATTCCGAAACGCATGAAAACAACATTAAACAAAATTCATTAAACAAAATTCTTGAATGAAAGCTTGTTTGGACAAATTACCCCGCACGCAAACGTTCGACGAAAATAAAAAAACTCTTAATATGAATTAGTTTTTTTTCTCTTTTAATAATCCTAATAATGTGGTTGCTTAACGGTTCGCAATAAACATGGCGCACTTAACTATACACATAAACGCTGTCAGTGTCTTAATTTTACCTTTCTTTAGCACAACAAACTCAATGATAAACGAATTGTTGGCCAGCCCCGACTGAACGCGTCGCGCGTCCTCCCCCGAAAATCGTTGAACAGCTGCATAACTCGGTATGTCTTCTAACAGCGATAAAAGCATGTGCGATAATTAAATCTCGTCCGGTATCAAAATCTCTTATCGCAAACGACCAAATTTTCTGAGATGTAAACACGCAATTTCACATTGTAGAATTAAATAAACAGATTTAAATAAACAAGACATAATTACAAACAATTCTGAAAGGAAAAATAAAACTACAGAAATACAAACTCAAATGAAATAACCCAATTCTGTGCTTATCCGGAAAACCCCCCCCCCCCCAAATTCACTTTACTAAATTGAAATGTGGTCATATACAGGGTCCCCCGTCATTATTTTTGGTGTTTAGACCAAAATGACGTCTACATGACGTTTGCACAACAGTAGTATGTATATTCGAATTTTGAGAATATTATTTCATTTGAAATGTTGAAATCACGCCTACTCGTAAACACCGAGAATATGTATGTTATAATTTATCCCCCCCCCCCCTCATATTCTTAACTCGCCAAAATTTCGTAAAAATATTTAAAACCATTTTCGGAATATCGCCCTGTAACATTGCGGTTGTAATGGCCGCTATTTCGGTTTTTTTGGCAAAAAGTTATTGAATGAATGAAACCAATGTTATACAATATTATATACTTGTAATCAGGAAAATAGGGCTATTCAAAACTATAGAAATATACAGGGCGCCCCATTAGAGATTTTGAAGTATTTTGTTGGGTACTCTCCGCATACTGTTACTACATTTTAGTCGGCACAGATAAAGTAGTAACACTTTTATTTGAAACTTTTTTTGGTGTTTCCAAAAATAATAAAAACTAGTAGGGGTCAAAATACACTGAGAAACCCTGTACGATAAGATTAATGGCGTATAACAAACGTCACTGGTCCTAAATACTGAAACAATTTTACAAGTTCTGAGTAAAAACTTTTTTTGTCACAGTCCACTTAAATGCTACGCAGGTGAAAGTGTACTTCTACTTTTATCTCGACGAACGCTAATGCCACGAATGTGATTGTAACTTTAATTATTAACTTCCTTGGCGGAATAACACTTTCGTATGCATAACTAGATGACATTCCCTCATAGAGGTATAATAAGTTGTTAGTTATTTAGCCTATCCTTGCACTTCGATCGATATAGGCAGTAGGTATATGCGAAATTGAAGTTTTGTCACAACGAACTTGGATAACGATTTTGACATATTTTGGTCAATAAGTGGTCGCCAAAAATGCATCAAACTCATGTCTTGGCCATCGAAATAATGCTTTTGTTTTTTTTCCAATGATCTCGTTACAAGAATATCGATTTTGACATGATTTGACCAAAATATATATGGGAAACAAAAATACATCAAGTTCATGTTGTGGGCAATGAGATAATGCTCTTATGGTCGTTTGCACCGATGGCTTTTCCTTCCCAGGTTCATGTTATGCACACAATTTTACGTCTAATTTTGAAATTGTTTAACACGCTAAATAGCTGGTACCAGGCCATCGGACAACTTCAGAT